TAATGTCTATTCCTCGTAGAGTGAACAATAAAATTAATCGGTGAAATTGTACAAAATCAAAATACAATTAATTCGTATTAAAGCTGCAACTTAACATAAAATTCTTTCAACCACTTTTCTTTATAAATCTATTATTAACTAAATAGCACAAATTAGTACAAATGGGCTAGTTAAATTTCACCGTGTAATTTCGCTCACTCTACCAAGATCCTTTGGCTCAGTTTCTCAATGGAAAAGACTCTGGTTGGTGATAAATGAAACTTGTATGGTTTCCACGTAGAAGAAACTGAGAAAGATATAATGGGTACGAGAATGAGATAAAATCCATCTCTGCACAGCCACGCAATATATCATCTCACTAACTATAAGGAATAATCAATGACATTTTGTTTTTTTAGCATTGGGGTACTATCGTCGTGTACCGTGTAACCAAGTACGTCATATGTTTCCGAACACACGAATGGGACTTAGAAATATTTTGAGGTTTTTGGTTATCCTCACTTAGAAAAATAAATTGATCCCGCAGATAAGATTCGAACCTGCGAACCCTAAATATGACCTATCCGATCATTAACCCTAAACCTAACCGGTTACGCCACAAGTGAATTAGCTTGGTTGCACTTCTTTTTTTCTAGTATTTAAACAATTTCTCATTAACATTTCACTAAATAATTAATATATAAGAACGAAGTGAACACGAATTATCGTCGGAATAATTTGCATACGGTAAATTTACATTACAACAATAAACTCCCCTGAGGTTTCCTGTACACGACGATATTACCAGCATTGGGCATGATAATAAATTATAACTTTGATATGCTATATTTTTGCAACTGTAATATTTTATTTTTCAAGAAMCTTTGCATGATTTTCACTCATCATCTTTGAATGGTGATCAAAAGCAATCAAAAACCACAGTTTAATAACRAACTGGTCGCAAAGGCCCTTAGATGTGTCTTAAGTATATTTAAATAAATAATTTTCTTTTCTTTCTTGTAATAATATATACATACTAAAGGATAAGTCTATTTCTTCTTTGCTTTCTTTTTGTCTTTCTTCTCTGGATTCAAGTTATTTTCTTTTTCTTCAAWGTCCTGGAGTCTTTACTTCACTATTTTTTGAAAATGTTTTTGATGCTCCCATTTCCTGCCAATGACAAATTATGTTAGTTAACTGCGAAAAAAAAAATCTGTTGTATTGTGACCAAGAACATTTTAAGTTTGTTTTAATACTCATTTTACAGTTCCAAGCACCATCTTGAAAGGTAACCAAGCTTTTGCATCAAAGCGAGACAGGAAGTTGAGTGATGGATACCTTTAATATACACCTAAGAACCGAACCCGAACCGTCCAATCTATATGCGCCGTCTTATACCATTACACCACCGAGTTTCTGATGCGATTCCTTGGAAGATAACATACTTATAAAACTTATGAATTAGACTCATTAGGAATGCCATGAAAAGCAAACAAAGACAATTTGAAAAGCTTTTGTTTCAGAAAGCCGTTCGGGAATTGGAAAACAACAAACGGTGCTTCTTTATTCAAAATTCTGAAAATTGAAAAACTTGGTGGAGATGCAATAAATCAATATATTTCTGTTATATGTATTTCCTTCGCTTTTTCTCCTCCCGAATAATTAATGAGTATGAGAAGTCGGCTAACGCCTCGGACTGGAACTAATTGCGCGGACTTGAAACCCCGTCCAGTCCTCATTGTCGGACTTTAAACATTACATCACAGATATCAGGAGCCCATTACTCCTTCAGGTATCTAATTAATGCAAGCTCACTCCTGTCTTGCTTCGATGCAAAGGCTCGGAGTATCCATATCATATACTTGTAAATATTAATAATTTAATATTTGTAGATCACCTTCTATGGTGTTCAAAAGCAGAGTCAGTTACTCATTAACAATATCAAATGACTATTACAGTATTATATAAAAATATACGGTATGAGATAAAAAATAGCCTGTATGCAGCCAGACCAAAACTGTTGTTAGTTGGAGTTTTTTATTAGCCTGCGTGCAGCCAGACCAAATCTACCTAACGGCAGTTTTGGTCTGGCTGCACACAGACTAATAAAAAACTTACAAATATTATTACCTAAGATGGCTGGGATGGGGATTTTTAAAAACATGGACTATTTAGGCGCTCATTCCCAGTCTTCTGCTCGTTTTTTCATATGGTCAATAGTTCCCTGGACAATCTTGAAATTTAGTTGTGAATAACAACTGTTACAGTAGACTCAGATAGGGCCTCGATAAAGGCCTTATGCACCACTTGGTGCGAAACAGCACGATGATGATGATGATGACAGTAGACTCAGATTCCATAGTCATCGTCTTTGCTACTCGTTTTTTCAGGTTGTCAACKTGTAATATTAAGAACTAGCCTCCTACACAGGTATCACACAAGTGTTGCCTGGGGAGGAGGCTACAAAGGAATCCCAACTACCTAACAAGGTGGAGTTAAGGGAATTATGAGTGAGGCTGACATAATATTTCTCTAGCTACCTCATGGTACTTCTCGATCACAAGTGCCTTTATCTCTTGCGGCCATAATGGCCCAATCTTCTTTCCATTTTTGATTGAAAAAACCTGAAATTAAGGAGGATGAGACATTAAAATTACTATAAAAATTACAGATTCTGAAAATTGTTACTTGGTTATACATCGAGAGGTAGATAGGGGCAAGGGGGGAGAGAGATGGTGGGGTAGGGTGGGGGTAATAGGGGTGAGGGGTGAGGCAGGGAACTTTGACAATAGGAATAAAGTAATCCTGTATCATTCACTGAGCTTGGTCCTGTAGATAAATATACCTCTAGATCACTTGTTTGATAAAGACATCCAATAGGTCCAGCAGAGACCCTGACCTCCATTACAAACATTTCATGATATACATGTCTTTCTATAGGAGTTACTGTGACCCTGCAACACAAACATGCCATCAAAATGCCATTTTCCTGTGTGAATTGGAACATCCATTGTTAAGTAAAAAGATAAATTTAACACCGTAAAAAAGTATGTGGAAAAACTTACCGACGCAGCTCACACTAGTTTACCGCTAGTTCCTACCATCCATTGTTAAGTTTTTTTCATGCAATCTTTCATTCATTAATTGATCATGTTACCCATTTTGAAAGTAACTTTTTTTAAATTGTGTATTGCATGGTTATTATATTAATTATTTTCAACACCTTAGCAAGCTATTTATTTATTCTGTCACAGAACAATGGTTATAGTCCACTTCATTATTCAGTAATTTAAAGACCCCATGTACATCCAMAACCTTTGAAAAAAAAATCACAAGGAAAAATAATTACCATCTTTAATTTTGAAACATTCAGGAAGAAACTTTCAATTAAAAATATTTTTAATGAAATACCAAACAAAATAATGCAAAAATCCTCTACATTATGGTTAAAAAAATGAAGATATATTCGCAAAGAAAGGCTGTGCTAGGATTAAATAAAAAATATTTTTTTCAATAACTGTATATTGTCCAGTAATAGACTACAGCACTGATTGAAACCTGCTTTCGAAGCCTTCAGTAGGTTTTCACACTTCATTAAGGGGTCACTCATGAATTCCTCAAAAGTTTATTCTCATCAACAAATCGAAATCGCTATTCTATTGTCTGTATGCTTATCGACAAGGAAAATGATGTCAGAAAATGATCAAAACTCAAGTGGAACCGCGAGCGTAGTGATTTCAATTTGTTTTTACCATAACAAAGCCGAAAACGAAGTAAATCTTTCAAAACAAGATCGTTTCTGGCACGTGCCGCCTCCGTGCGTGAGCGATTCGTCACTTCATCGGTCTGTCCTAGGATGGACAATGGCTCTCGACCAATCAGCGCGCGAGAATTCTACAAGGTATGGTAAAATATATATTTACTGTCATGTAAACTTTACAAAACATCTAGTCAACCTATACGCGGTCACCTGGTCTTTCTCCTGTTTACATCTATCCATTTATTCATTATCCCTTCCATTCATTCATTTATTTTAATCATGTTCCCATGCCAATATTACTAACTTATATTAAGGTAATAAAAATTGTATTATTATTAGGTATTATAAATACATACCTATAGCAGTTGGGCCCAATGACAGGTTCAAAGGACCGAAGTTGTCTGTCTACAATMAGTCGAAAATGGTCCTCTTTATCTCGACTTAAAAACATTCCCTGAACTTTACCTGGAAAAAAATTTAACTTGTTCATTTGACATTGTGAAATAAAATGAAATTTAGACTAATTTTAGGCCATTTTTTCGGTGGTGGCAATTATTTTTATTATAACCACTCAATCATCTGAGGAATGGCCAACCTCGTTCCCAGACCTTCTCTGGGAACGAGGCTGAGAATTGTCCAATTAGAAAAAAGAAAACAAATCAGAGAGGCTGAAATCCTAAACAGGAAGCACAAAACCTAAGAATAATAATAAACAATACTAACATGATAGTTGAATGTAGAGGAGGTTGGTCAAAAACATACCTTTCCTTACGCCAAAAAGGAGAAATCCTCCTCTAGAATTCAAAAGAGCATTCCCATACTCTGTGACGATCTATRTTATGATACATTACATAGTAAGCTTAATAATGCACCTATCAATGTCTTGCTCCAATGTGGAGAGCCCGGGCTTACCCAGGGGCTAGTGGAAAACAAATGTCAATGAGCCCCTCTTAAATTCTACATCAAATGACAATAGGCCTCTCATATAATAACGATTTAATGTAAAGTACACCAGGACCGCATTGCTCCAAGCTTGATAAAAGCTGAGTCTGCATGGTTTAACTCTTAAAAAACCTATGAAGTTAATCCTGGACTAACGCACGTTTAACAATCTTTCCTGCAGTTGTAAGTGAATGAAATAACATTCTAAAATGTATAGTCTCTGATCAAATTGTCAATAAGCCCTACCCTGAGGGATCCTTGTGTCAATAAAAGTCTGACAGCCCCTGTCAGGGGCTAGGTTCGTATGTCAACAGCCCATGTGCGCCAGTGCTCCCCCCATTGGGACAAGACATTGATAGGTGCATAATGTACATGAATAAACCAATTCTTGGAGTCACAGTAATATTCTAGGAGACCAGACAA